CGTTTTAGCTTCGTTTACGCTGAACTTCGAGTATGTTGTAGCTGAGACAATAAGCTATCTTAAATTTGCCCTTTATTTTGTCTCAAATTTTAGTTAGACCAGCCCACCTATACTTGTTCAAAACAAGTATTACAAATCTATTATCATCAACATTGTCACCGGAGCAAGTGTCGCTTCAGGCGGAGCAAATGTCGGCGGAGCAACTGTTGGCGGAGCAATTGTCGGCGGAGCAAATGTTACCGGAGCAATTATCGCGTTTTGCGGAACAATTGTCGGCGGAGGAATTGTCGGCGGAGCATATGTCGGCGGAGCAATTGTCGGCGGAGCAAATTTCGACAGAGTAACTGTCGTTCGAGGAGCATTCGTCACCGGAGCAATTGTCGAGTTTTGCGGAGCAATTGTCGGCGGAGCAATTGTCGGCGGAGAAAATGTCGGCGGAGCATATGTCGGCGGAGCAAATGTCGGCGGAGCAATTGTCGGCGGAGCAAATGTCGCGGAGCAAATGTCGCGGAGCAATTGTCGCGTTTTGCGGAGTAAATGTCGGCGGAGCAATCGTCGGCGGAGCATGTGTCGGGTTACCGACATGGCCTGGGGATTCTCATGTAGTGTCTATCTATACACTAGTTGTCCTGAGCTGAGAAGGCCTTCTGAACTGTTGATGTTGAGTGGTTTCTAATTCTTTCAGATTGAGTGCCTTCCGCGGTTCTGCCTAGCTATATTATATTATATTAACTCCGGGAAGCTCCAACACCGGCGCCGCCGGATCTAGACCCTATATACAAATTCCAGACAACTCGCCACAAAAGACAACTCGACACAATATATACCCTGGACATCTCGCCACAATACCCTGGAAAACTCGCCACTGTCGAGTTGTCCAGGGTGGGGTGCGTTTTCGGACAGCTCGCCGCACTTTTTCCACTCATCATTTCTAGATCTAAAATCCCTCATCTTAGATGAAAATTGTAGGGTCTATTCATTATTCTTTTACAGGCCTTAAATTTCAATATTTTTTAGAGCAAGGCCACTTTTCTGTAGGGCACATTCCTATATTACAGAACAAATAGGAAGAATTGGAAAGGGCACAACAAATCTCCAAGGCCATTGAGAGGGGCATTGAGGCTAATCAAAGGGGCATCCATGGCTTTGGTGGCCTTGGATTAATTCAAGCCCTGCTTTTATAAACACAGTCCTTAGCTAGACTCCCTAGATTCTAGACTAGAGAAGGGAGAGTACCGTGAGTTCTCGGAAGAGGTAAAAAATTATTTGTGAGCATTAGATCTATATCATTGTAATATCATGCAAGAGTGAAAGAACATGGATAGTAAAAATGTCCGCTGAAAAGCATGGCTCTTTAAATGCGTTCATATTCTAAATAATTGACAAGTAGTTGTAACAGATTTAAAAATGAGTCCCAATTTTTATGCCACATGTTGGTGTAGTCCGACTAGTACTAGTCCCAATACATCTTTCTGTGTACAGTGCTTGTTACTTTACCAAGACTGGGCCAAATTGCTGATCATTTTGATGACTCCAGAACCTTGCAGTACACACCAATAATTAAACTAAATGGTCAACCTTTTCGATCGATTGCATGACCAGAAGAAAGAGTGTACATGTTAAAGTATACATGCAGGCAGCTACCATATGTACTGTAGGTGTCAACATGATCTTTCAACAATAAAGGAAAATTCCTAGAAACTGTGGAAAAACAGAATTAGGATCTAGATAGTCATACAACTTCTAAGTGAAAGTGACTTTCACCTCTCAATAAGCTGACCACACCCATCTCATGCTATTGACCATGCACTTGGTCAATGCTATGACACGCACACACATAATGGTCATCTGGTCAAGGTTGACCTCCCTTACAAAAAAATTCTATAGAATTCTATAACAAAAAATCTATAGAATTGCGTATAGAAATTCTATAGAATTTTTTTTATAGAATTCTATAGAAATGCTTTATAGAGATTCTATAGAAAAGTGGGCGACTTTTCTATACAAATTCTATAGAAATCTATAACGGACCTCTATAGAATCTCTATAAAACATTCTATAGAATGGCCTATAAAAATTCTATAGAATTTGTTTTATAGAATTCTATAGAATTTTTTGTAGAGAATTCTATAGACCATTTTATTCTATAGCAATTCTATAGAAATGTTTTATAGAGATTCTATAGAAAAGTGGGCCACTTTTCTATACAAATTCTATAGAAATCTATAACGGATCTCTATAGAATCTCTATAAAACATTCTATAGAATGGCCTATAGAAATTCTATAGATTTTTTTTTAAAGAATTCTATAGAAGTTTTTTTTGTAAATAATTTTATAGAACATTTTTTACCAGTTGAAAACCAGTTTATTATTCAGTAGCGACCAATAATCAATTGATAATCAATATTGCATGACATCTGGCCACTGACTAAACCATATTTATATAGACTCCTACAATTGCTCCATCACAAAGATCATTTGAAGCAAAATACAGTTGAGTATATATTGTTAATTAAGTAGTGGGAGATCTTACATACATATGTACAAAATTATACATGTTTTTACTGGTTAGTAAAATACTTATATTAATATATCTATTTTACGTCTTAAGTTACATGTTTAAAAAAATTGGACATATACAGTGCGTCCCAGAAAAAACGAAACCGAGAAGTATTGATGTTCTATTATAACTTAATCACAACTATAATTAATGAATGATACATATTTGGAAAGCTTAGAGTCTCCTCTTTCATGTGATGCTACTCAGATAATGCATATTTTACGCATGAGTGATTAAAAGCAATTTGAAGGAAACCAAAAAGACATTTGGCGGGCGGTATCTGAATTTCGAAGAAAAATTCACATTTCTAGAAAGTTGAGTTTCTGCCCTTTCATATGATACCTCAATCAGGAATAATGAGTGAGGAATGACAAAGTTCTGTTTGTTTAAAGTAGTGCTTGCATTTCCATAATTTTATCAAACGAATTCGTTTTCACTGGCTGCCTGCCGTATCAATAAACGAAATTAACAAAAGACTTAACTCCGTTTCGTTGACAATCAGCCGTAGCCGAGTCTTCGTGCATGGCTGATTGTCAACGAAACGGAGTTAAGTCTTTTGTCAAATCTGCTTTTTGCAACGGCAGGCACACAGTGAATACGAATTCGTTTGTTAAAATTATGAAAATGTAAGGGCTACTTTAAACTAACAGAACTTTGTTATTCCTGGCTCATTTTTCTTGATTGAGGTATCATATGAAAGGGCAGAAACTCAACTTTCTAGAAATATGAATTTTTCTTTGAAATTCAGATACCGCCCGCCAAATTTCTTTTTGGTTTCCTTCCTTCAAATTGCTTTTAATCACTCATGCGTGAAAAATGCATCACGTGAGTAGCATCAACTGAAAGAGGAGACTCTAAGCTTTCCAAATATGTATCATTCATTAATTATGGTTGTGATTAAATTATGATAAAACATCGATACTTCTCGGTTTCGTTTTTTCTAGGACGCACTGTATATTATATTTGTCAATAATGGACTAAGAAAATATAAATCACACAATTGATGTTAATTGTCACATTTGCTTGACAGATCATGATAATTACATTTTCTGTGAAAACATGCAAATTATCATGAATATGCATGAGATACATATCTTCATATAGAACAAAAATTCTATAGAATTCTATAGAAATTTAGATCTATAGGAAACTTATTCTATAGAATTCTATAGAGAAAACTGATTTCTATAGACATCCTTAAACATTCTATAGAGAAGTGGGGACGCCATTTTTTATATTGAATTTTCTATAGAAATTTAAATCTATAGAAAACTTATTCTATAGAATTCTATAGAGGAAACTCATTTCTATAGACAACCTTAAAAATTCTATAGAGAATTAACTTTTCTCAGTATAGAAATTTCAATCTATAGAAAACTTATTATATAGAATTCTATAGAGGAAACTGATTTCTATAGACAACCTAAAAAATTCTATAGAGAATTAACTTTTCTATAGAAATTTAAATCTATAGAAAACTTATTCTATAGAATTCTATAGAGGAAACTGATTTCTATAGACAACCTTAAAAATTCTATAGAGAATTAACTTTTCTATAGAAATTTAAATCTATAGAAAACTTATTCTATAGAATTCTATAGAGGAAACTGATTTCTATAGACAACCTTAAAAATTCTATAGAGAATTAACTTTTCTATAGAAATTTAAATCTATAGAAAACTTATTCTATAGAATTCTATAGAGGAAACCGCTTTCTATAGAGAATCCTTGTTCTATAGAGAATCTGGAATGTTATAGGGTTCTATAGAACTCTATAAAGCGTTCTATAAAATTCTATACAACTTTTTTGTAAGGGCTCCCAACAACAGAGAGTTTCCAACACAGTGTGTAACAACAGAAGTTGAGGTACAAAGACACATGTGTATTGTGTGTGTATTCTCCTAATCTGAGAAGTATTTAGCTGGTATGAGTTCCTGTTCACTTCATTTATACTTTTTTCACACTTGTTTTGCTTAACCCCGGACTAACTTTTTTTGCCTTTTATCACTGCAATTCCTTAGCCCCTTACTAGCCATAGCATGAGTGATTAAGATGAATTTGAAGAGAGGAAACCAAAAAGTCATTTAGCGGACGGTATCTGAATTTCAAAGAGAAAATCACATTTCTAGAAAGTTGAGTTTCTGCCCTTTCATGACACCTCAATCACAAAAAACGAGCTAGGAATAACAAAGTTCTGTATGTTTAAAGTAGTGCTTGCATATATCCATAATTTTGTCAAACAAATTCATTTTCACTGGCTGCCTGCCTTAGCAACAAACAGAATTAAGAAAAGACTTAACTCCGTTTCGTTGACAATCGGCCATTGACAAAAGACTTCATGCATGGCTGATTGTCAACGAAACGGAGTTGAGTCTTTTGACAATTCTGTTTTCAATTCTCGTAATCATGTTGTCCATTTTCATTTGTCCTCAATTGCAGCTTTAAAAAAATCAACACTAAAAATCAAGATGTGTGGTATATGGGCGCTATTCGGGAGTGACGTGGATGTCCACAAGCATCTTGGGAGTGCGCTCAAGATAGCTCATCGTGGTCCCGATTCGTTCCGGACGGAGAGCATCCCCAAGTACAACAACTGTTGTCTGTGTTTCCATCGTCTAGCCATCGTAGGTAACGTGTTTGGGATGCAGCCTCTCCGTATCAACGGCTTTCCTCATCTCACGCTGCTATACAACGGAGAGATCTATAACTATAAAAAGGTATGATGAAGCACAGTCGCTTTCATTTCATAAATAGATTGTGAGATCTTAAAGGTATAGACCAGTTTTGGAAACACTCCCCTTTAAAAAAAATGAAATGGAAGTTGTTATTAACAATCATGTGAAAGAATATGTTTTGACTAATACGTGATGATACAAATTTTGCAGAGAAACCGCCTACTAATTGATATATTTGGTAAATTATCATATCTATCCGGACTGGATAGACATCGTGTAGCCCCATAATTATACATCTTTTTGTGTACAGTGCTTACTGCTTGTAACTTTATCAAGACTGGGCCAAATTTCTTATCATTTTGATGATTCCAGAACCTTGAAGTAAACACCAATACTTCTATGCTAGGTGATCAACCTTTTCTGACTGATTCCAAAATGTTTCTTTTTTCACAATGCAATTGCATGACCAGAACTGGTCTATACCTTTAACCTTTTAACTACTGAAGTCTCTTATTCCCAAAGGCTTTTAGCAGGCACCACCATTACCTGTGAGGAATTAGTTAAAGATGGATTCATGAGATTTTTTTAATAGCACTATGAAGTAACACATTTTAGAGTAGAAATTCCAAGAGTCTGGGTATAGAATGGTGAAATGCAAAATTTGCAAATGGTTATTTTAGATAACATAAAAACAAACAAATGATTAAGAAATATATATATACTCCTTTTGAAAGATAAGTTTCAGTTCTAGTAATGACAGAAAATATGTTCTTAAATAGTCAAATAAAAGCTACATTGAATGTTAAAATCTACATAACATATTTACCAAATGCTTTTGGTTTTAAAAAATGGACGAAACCTTATTTCATATGGAAAAAAAATATATATATTTTGCTTTGGGCTGTATTGAGGGACATATGGTAATGTAGAGGAGCTATTCTTGTGTTGACAAAAAAACTAATATACAATGTTGATACCAACTGTATCTGATGCAGACATTGATGTGCAAAAAAAAAATCCATATTTTCACACAGCTGAGCGAGGCCTTTGGTTTCCCGATAGCAAGCAAGATGGATGGTGAGATTCTGCTTCACCTTTACATCAGGGGTGGTATAGAGTACGCAGCATCTATGGCCGACGGTGTGTTCGCTATGTGTATCGTTGATACAGCTAGTAAACAGGTAACGATTCCCTTCCAGGAAAGTGATTATTTAAAGCAGGACTGCACAACTTGTAGCTACTTGCGCCCTCTATATAACAAACAAAGCATTAATCGGTGACCATTGGTCCCCCATGATCCTCTTTTTCTTATGTTAATCGAGAGCTGATTTGATGAGATAACCACCTGCCCAGTGACCAGGGTGGTCTAATCCCGCATTTGCCCTAGTACAGATGGGCTTTAAGAGCTAAATTGATCTTTTTTTTTCTTATTTAAATTTGCACCAATATACTCTCCAATTCTTGAGGACAAATTGAAATTCATATTAAATGAATGAATACATAAAGCAACAAAAACTTGTCAATTTGTATGTGAAAACATGAATCATGAATACCATACCACGCTGCTAATTTATACAAAGTGCTTATTTTATTTAAATTGTTGTTATTCACGAACTACAAGATGTATGGCAGTGGAAATTAACTCAGATCTTGCTATGAAGGTATGATTGCCCTTTAAACACTATAACAATCTTGCTTAATATTACTGACTGCTCTGGTGACTTTTCGGTTTCGGTTTTCAAATTCAAATGAAATATTAGAACCTAGCAATTGATGACACAAATATGGACACAATATGTGCATCAAAATTAAGTTATGGAGCAGAACCACAAAATATTGAGAATTATCATGAAAGGGAAACTCGCACCTTTCTTACAGGTAGAATTGGGTGAATAGTACGATTTAGTCGTATTTAGTACGATTTTTAGAAGCAAATACGACAGTACGATTTACTACTGTACAGTGTATGCTGTAGCTGTCAGAACTACTCAATCACGCTTATGACCATTTGCACACAAAACGTATTGAATTCTGTCCAGACTATTGATTATGATAAAAATAAGAGCATTGAACTTACACGAAATCATCAGGCAGTAGACCTCGATCCTAAACCTTCAAGAACCAGTTTAAACATGATATAATAACCATACTTTAAGAAACTTTACGAAACTTGTGGCTTGAGAAAATAGGATAGTTCGCTTAAAAGGAGCGCCATTGTTTCTGACTATGGAAAGCCAAGTGAACAGATTATATTTAATCGCGTGCAGCACAGTGTGCGTCCGCCATTTTCAATGGCATAATGTCCATTCTGTCCTGTAAAGTATCCTACAAGCATCTCACATCGGCAATTTGGGAATGTTTATTGGTTCATCGAACACACCAGTCGTGACGAAATAATGCATATTCAACCAATGATCAATAAAAAAAAAAATTCTTCCTGTAGGTAGAAACTGTAAGAGGTATTGATCCGCGTAACAATCCGTGCTTATTTTCAAGAATACAACTTTTGTCAGTAAAATACAACTTTTGACACTAAAGAATACAGTTTTTGAACTCCAGAGGTTGGCAGGTCTGCCGGTACATATCTAAGAACTAGAAGTGTGAAAGCTGGAACGATTGGATATTCCAGCTTTGACATTTAGATCATAGTGTTTGTGAATTAGGAATGGACATTTTTGTCAGTGACTGTGAGTCTGTGAAATGTTTTTATCAAGGTTACACCAGTCTATTTGTGTGATTTTTCTATATCATTCAATTGATACACTATACACCTCGCTCCATACTATTATTTACGGTCTGGCGACTTTTATTGCCATTTCCAAGCTGTTGCCTACTTTGAGCCTCCTTTAGTATCTCCGCCCTAATGCTTCAGTTAATTTGAATAGGGGCTAGATCAGTGTGGTATATACAGTGCGTCCCAGAAAAAACGAAACCGAGAAGTATCGATGTTTTATCATAACTTAATCACAACTATAATTAATGAATGATACATATTTGGAAAGCTTAGAGTCTCCTCTTTCATGTGATGCTACTCAGATGATGCATATTTCACGCATGAGTGATTAAAGCAATTTGAAGGAAGTAAACCAAAAAGATATTTGGCGGGCGGTATCTGAATTTCGAAGAAAACTTCACGGCCCGAATTCACAAAGGAGGTTTGTCGTCAAACCTTGGTTTTCGTACGTCATATGACGCGTTTTACGCGTTTTTTACAAACCTGGTTTGTAAAGAACAAAAGGAGGTTTGGCGAAACAAAAGGAGGTTTGAGCTCAAACCTTGGTCTGAGCTCAAACCTTGCTTTGTGAATTCGGGCCCACATGTCTAGAAAGTTGAGTTTCTCTGAATTTTTCTTTGAAATTCAGACACCGCCCGCCAAATTACTTTTTGGTTTCCTTCCTTCAAATTGCTTTTAATCACTCATGCGTGAAATATGTCATTAATTATGGTTGTGATTAAGTTATGATAAAACATCGATACTTCTCGGTTTCGTTTTTTCTGGGACGCACTGTATATATACATGTAGTTGACTAGTCTGCAAGCACAGACTCTAGTTTGACACCTTACCACGATTCCTAAAGCCTTGAGTAGAGCCTAGCTCTGTATTTCTCTGGCTTTTCCAAAAGCAGCTGAAGTACAGAGTATACAAAGTACACTGTATACCATCAGCATAGTATCACATTGCAGACATACATGCACACATATTGCTCCGATTGTCTCATTTTCGCTCGCGTGAACATTGCCAGCACAAACCACTGACCTCTACCTCCTACATGGATCATCGCACATTCCCATTCACTATACGTTACGTACTGAAAGGCTGTATTGTCTGACCGTTCATGAATATTCATGTTTTTGCTAAACTCGGCAAAATGTTTGCTTTTACTAAATGGAAAAATTCCGATGGGGGGTTGGATGAAATGGACAAAACGAAATAGGCAGAAGTGATCTATGATAATTCATGCTTTTTATGTTTCGTGTGCTCGACCTATAATCTTCAAATTGCTTGGTAAACTGAGTCCAAAGTTAGACTTGTTTCACATGTGTATTATAGGCAATGACGAGCTTGCAACCTATTTTGAAAAATTACGGTGGGTGAACTTTCAAAAGTCAATGAGACATGAGGGCTCCAATGAAAGAGCTAGTGATAACGTACGTCGGGGTGGATGTGCTTTTCGTTTAAACAAAAAATGAATTTTTAACGATTTTTTAAAAAAACGTCCATAGCTAGGCTAACATGTTAGGCTGCTGAATCTGACCATGCTCTGACGATAGGTGGCGTTGTGAAATGAGACTAAACGGAGCCATATGATGATGAAGGACAACGATTTGTGTCCTGCAAACTAACCATTGACCTTTCTAGACATGAACTTTTGAGTCGAGGCGTAAAGAATGGTCTCTTACTGTATCGTTTACTCTTTTTTTAAAATATCATCCGGTTGCTAAGGTGGTCAGTGGAAATGTTAAATATCTCTTGCCATATCCAGGGCTCCACACCATCTATTATTGAAAGGGCAAAGGGAGTCCGGATTGAGCTTTTTACAGTCTGTATGTATGAGCCCTATGTAAAAACTTCCAAATTTGGGGGTTCCGGACTGAGATTTTAGGTGCCAATGTGTCCTGGATGCCTGTTTCTCGCTTTATCCGGGGCTACGCACCAACTTTTATTGGAATGGCGTCCAGATTGAACATTTTACAGTCTGTATGTACAGTATAAACCCTACATCTATGTAAAACTTCAAAACTTGGGGGTTCTGGACTGAGGTTTTAGGTGCCCATGTGTCCCAGGCGTCAGTTAGTGTCGAGCCCTGCTCTATTATTTATTTTCTTTTTTTTCCTCATTCTATCGTTACCTAGGTTCATATTGGTCGTGATACATACGGGGTGAGGCCTATGTTCTCTCTTCTCAACGAGGATGGCTTTATGGCTATCAGCTCAGAGGCTAAAGGTAAATATTTTTATTAAAATTGTTGCATTGGTAGCCAAGCATTAATTTTTGATAGTCCAGAACATGAATGCCTACTGATTACCATTTTGTAGCCATTTACTGAGTAGAAATGATTATCAGGTGGGCTGTATTTATAATACAGACCACCTTATATTTTTGTTGAAATCGCCTTTATTTATTATTTATTTATTATTTATCAGGTGGGCTGTATAACGTACAGACCACCTTATAATTTCGTTAGAATTGCCTTTATTATTTATTTATTTATTTATTTATTTATTTATTTATCAGGTGGGCTGTATATCATACAGACCACCTTATATTTTTGTTAAAATTGCCTTTATTATTTATTTATTTATTTTTCTTAATTCTTACCACTTTTTTGTTCACAAGATAACTTGAAAATAGATCAATCAAATAACTTGAAATTTGGCACACATATGTATAGGCATATAGAGAAGTTACAATAACGTTTTCAACCTTGACCTTGACTGATGACGTCATCTAGGCGCCATTTTGTGAAAATACACTCGTGATCATATCTTCATAACCAAAATTCATTTCTCATTGATATTTAATATGATCAAGGTCCTTATCCGTCCGATCAATTTCAGATAAAAAAACGCGCGCGTGCACGTACGTCCGCGCGTCAGTGCGCGCGCAAATTTTTATAATGCTCAAAATCATCTCAATTTTTTTTTGGATGCGTTTTAGGCCATTTTAAGCATTTTGAAAAAAAACGCGCACACGCGCATGTGTGCGCGTTTTCGCGCGTACTGGTATTTTGCAACATAGAATAGTCATTTTTTTTTCTTTAATGATATTTTCCATATTTTTTCGAACAATATGATACCATGTTTAATTCTTTATGACCATTGGGAACAAGATGAGCTTCTATTCAAGATACATTTCCGTGCGCGCGGGCTCTTTTAATACATAGCATATACGGGCAAAAACAGGCCTATACAAAATCCATTATAGCTCTTTGGAATGCACCGAGACCCTCAATTCTTTTTCATATTTGGAAAAAGTATGAGTTGGAGATATGACTTAATGTCTCATTTGGCCATTAAATTTATCATAACATCATAATAATAGCCTTGGAACTCAAAAAAAGAATTAGCATATTATGACGTCAGCATATTTATGTCAAATTGATTGTATCTCTGTAAATATTGATCGATTTTCTTCCAAATTTCGATATGTTGTAGCTAAGACAATTTTCTTCAAGCTTAGATTCACCATTTTTCATTTTGATGACGTCATCATAGTGAAAATATCGATTAAAGGCCTCATGTCAGAAATTTCTTAATTTGCGTGTTATGCCTATATAAGCTGAATTTCGTTCACGTCATGAATCTACATGATACTGTTGTTTAAGAATTTTTAAGCAGTATCTCGCTTAATTTTGCTCTAGTTTGTCTCAAATTTTAGTTGAGCAGCCCACCTATACTTGTTCCAAACAAGTATTACATGTCTAGTTTCTTTATTATTTATCAGGTGGGCTGTATCTAATACAGACCAGTTATATTTTTGTTAAAATTGCCTTTATCAGGTGGGCTGTATTACGTACAGACCACCTTATAATTTCGTTAGAATTGCCTTTATCAGGTGGGCTGTATCTAATACAGACCACCTTATATTTTTGTTAAAATTGCCTTTATTATTATTTATTTATTTATTTATTTATCAGGTGGGCTGTATAACGTACAGACCACCTTATAATTTCGTTAGAATTGCCTTTATTTATTTATTTATTTATTATTATCAGGTGGGCTGTATAACGTACAGACCACCTTATAATTTCGTTAGAATTGCCTTTATTTATTTATTTATTTATTATTATATATTTTTCTTATTTCTAACCACTTTTTTGTGTGCAAGATAATTTGAAAATGGCTCAATCAAATATCTTAAAATTTAACACACATATGTATAGGCATATTCACAAAACACAGCAAATTTTTCGACCTTGACCTTGACTAATGACATCATCTAGGCGCCATTTTGTGAATTTTTTTGAAAATCAACCTATGATCATATCTTCATAACCAAAAGTAATTTCTCATTCATATTTATCATGATCAAGGTCAATATCAGTCCGGTCAAATTCAGTTCAAAAAACGCGCGTGTGCGCGTACGTCCGCGCGTCAGTGCGCGCGCAAAATTTTTAAATGCTCAAAATCGTCTCAAATTTATTTTGCATACGTTTCAGGTCATTTTAAGCATTTTTTAAAAAATCGCGCGTACGAGCATGCGCGCGCGTTTTCGCGCGTAACACCATTAACAAACATAGAATCGCCATTTTTTTTTCTTTCATGATATTTCTCATATTTTTTCAAGGAATTTGATACCACGTTTATCTCTTTATGACCATTATTAACAAGATGAGCGTAAATTCAAGATAAATGTCAGTGCGCGCGAGCTCTTTTAATACATAGCATATATGGGCAAAAACATGCCTATACAAAATCCGTTATAGCTCTTTGGAATGCACCGGAATCCTCAATTTTTTTCATATTTAGATAGAGTATGAGTCGGAAATATAATTCCATGTCTCATCTGGCCATTAAGTGTATCGCGACATAATCACAATGGCCTTGGAACTCAAAATACGAATTTGCATATTATGACGTCAGCATATTTATGTAAAATTTATTGTATCTCTGTAAATATTGATCAATTTTCTTCAAAATTTCGATATGTTGTAGCTAAGACAATTCTCTACAAGCGTAGTAATAACCATTTTTCATTTTGATGACGTCATCATAGTGAAAATTCATAATTTGCGTGTTATGCCTATCGAAGGTGAATTTAGTTCACGTTGTGAATCTACATGATATTGTCTTTTAAGAATTTGTAAGCAGTATGTCGCTTATTTTTGCTCTATTTTGTCTCAAATTTTAGTTGACCAGCCCACCTATACTTGTTCCAAACAAGTATTATATGTCTAGTTTAAATATATGTTTTTTCAACACTATTTCAAATGGTTTCCAATAGTTTGATCTCATTTTTCAACAGTAACATTTGCTTTTATTAGAGAATTGAACTGGGAAAGTCCCAAAGACAATTTGTCTACTAGAAAATATAATGTAGACTTATATAATGCACAACATATCCACCCAAAGCTTTGGTAGCTCCTAATTAAAAATTCATAACCAACATGACTTTGGAATCTATTTCATGATGAAGAGTAACTCATTCTCTGTCTAATGGTACCCTATTCATAATATTTCTGTTATGGGTGACTGAGTACCAGGGTCTTAACCAAATGTTGTCAAAATTACCTTGTACCTAGTTTGGGCAATGTATAGGCTTTCACTCCACCTTGTTTCAATCCATAGGATAAGCTTGAATTATTGTGTATATTGTATGTGCCTTGAACACCACCTGGGTGGATATGTTGTGCTGGAGGGTGTTTCATAAAGCTATGCGTAAAGTTATGAATGACTCGATCTACAAATAATTTAAATATGAAGAGCCATATGGGATGCCCAAAGTTTTTCCTGACATTTTAACAAAGTGTGACTGTATTTCCCATAATCTCAATTTAATTGTAGCCCAAAATACACTTAGCATTAAAGTTTTTTTTGTTAATAATGATAAGGTTAATCTACATCTGCATATTTCAACTTTAGCTTATATGCAATTAAAAGGATTTGAGGACACCATTTAGCTCTTCAGATTCAAGTCATTCGTAAAGTCGTGCTTAACTTTACGCACAGCTTTATGAAGCACCACCCTGGATACACTTTTCTCTGATACGCACTGCATAAGCAATTACACTTTCTTTTTTATTTCTTTTCAAAGGTCTTCTTGGTTTGAGGCATGGCTGTGATGACAGGGATGTGACCATTAAGCCTTTCCCTCCTGGTCATGTTCAGAGCTTCAACCTCCTACCTAGCGGCAAGGTATCCCCTCTGGAACTCATCCAGTTCCACTCCTTCGAGCAGACTCCAAAGTGGTCTTCCGTTGAGGGCAGTCTTCAAGTAGAGGGCAGTCTCACACCTACAGGTAAGACTAATGATAGAAACAGTGCTTGGATGTTTTTCCTATGTACTTGTATTCAATTTGGTGTCTATATGATCTGGGGGGTGTTTCACAAAGACTAAGATCGATTTTAAGTTGGACTTAAATATGGCAGGCCATTAATGCCACTGGTTCCTCTCACCATTGGTCTCGCAATTATGATCTTTAGATAATATTTTTTCCTTCAGTAATGAAGTATCAAATCAGGTAAATTCCGTAGATGTGTGGCCACGATTTGTACGTCCCTTGAGAAACCAATGCCAGGAATGATTAGAGAAACTAGTGGCATGAAAGGCCTGCCATAGTTAAGCTCAACTTAAAGTCGATTTACTCTTTGTGAAACACCCTCCTGTTCTATGTTTGTAACACCAACTTGATGAAAAGCAGTTTTTTTAGGCTGATGTGAGTTTTACCCAAATTGAATAAATTCAATTCTAATTCAATTCCAAATGATTCAATTTATGGTTCTTTTCTTCTAACAGATGAGGACATTTATGCCAACATCCGTGCTCTCTTTACTGAAGCAGTGAGGAAGCGATTGATGGGTGAGCGTCGTATTGGATGCATGTTGTCAGGTTAGTCTCATGGTCGATTAATCATAGATGCTCATCTACAACAACAAAATCAAATTAGAGGATAACATGTCCAATCTGTTATGGATCAGATAGGACCAACTATGTGTGTCTCCGTATTAAGGTTCATCCCCTCGTCCCCTATGCATTAGAAATTGATTGACATTGTGCACTTTTGTTAACAACGAACAAACTCATTGTTTGTTTTGGTAATTATGTGTTGACCGTTTTAAATTAGGAACTTCTTGTTATGTATACAGTTATTTCCTTTATATTCTCACTTATTTAACAATCGATGCCATGATCTGTATAAGACCAAGAGAGGTGTAAAACAAAGACAGCAAATATGAAGCATTTGGAATATTCAAGTGCAACAAACATAGAATCTGAAATATACTTTTCTATTCAACATGTGAGGATTTAGTTTGCACTATTTTTCCTCTTCTTTCTTTACCTCTCTATTTCTTTCTGACTTTTTTTCTTTTTAAAATGATTTTCTCTCTTTTCTCCTGCTCTATCTATCTTCCTTCCCCTCCTTTGCCACCTCCCCCTCTATCTTTCTCTCTCTCTTTCTAACTCCCTCTTCTCCTCACTTTTCTCTCCATTCTCCCTTCTCTCCCTCTTTTTCTGCCCTCCCACCCCTCTCACAATTTCTCTCTCTCTCTCCCTCCCTCTCTCCCTCCCTCGCTCTCTCTTTCTAACTCCCCTTCTCCCTCTCTGCCCCTCTTTCCTCCTCGCTCTCCCTCCCATCCCCCCTCTCTCTCTCTCTCTCTCTCTCCCTCTCTTTCTCCCTCCCTCTCTCCCTCCCTCTCTCCCTCCCTCGCTATCTCTTTCTAACTCCCCTTCTCCCTCTCTGCCCCTCTTTCCTCCTCGCTCTCCCTCCCATCCCCCTCTCTCTCTCTCTCTCTCTCCCCTCTCTTTCGTTCTCTCCCTGCTCCGCCCCTCCTTATCTCTCTATCTCTTTCTCTGCCTCTATCTTTCTCTCTCTCTCTCTCACCATCTCTCGCTCTCTCTCTCTCTCCCTCCCTCTCTACCTGGTCTTTCTTCAATCATCAGGTGGTTTGGATTCCAGCCTGGTATCATCCCTTGTCATGAAGGCGATGGTCAAGGATGGCTTTGACTATCCTCTTCAGACCTTCTCAATCGGAATGAAAGGCAGTCCTGATGTCGTTGCAGCCAGAAAGGTAAGCTAGTGCGGACCCAGAATGTTCACTTAAGCGGGACTGCACTACTTGTAGCTACTTGCGCCCTCTATATAGCCAACAATGCCTAAGTGGTACCCATTGATCCCCTATAGTCCCCTTTTTCTTATGTTAATTGAGAGCTGATTTGATGAGATAACCACCTGTCAGTGACCTTGCAGGGAGGTATAATCCCTCCTGGCCAAACTAGTGCAGATAGGCTTTGATATATAACTATCAAAGTAGGTAAGGATAACCGTTCCAAAGTTTGTGGAGAAAAGGGTCTCATTTTTAAATAATAATAATAATAATAATAATAATACATAGGATTTATAAGGCGCCAAATCCACTTGACAGTCAAATGCTCAAGGCGGAGCTTGTGCAAGAGATGAAATACGCACATGATACAAAGTGCAATAGGAAAGGTACAGACATGAAAGGTTATGGTAAACAATTATAAGCTAAATTAAACAGATATTTCGTAAGATTGTTTTTTAACACTTCAGCAGAGCTGCTATTCTTAATAGCATATGATCATGAATATGATCATAAATAATTATATATAATATAGCACTTACTGTAATAGTACTGTTTATAAGCACTGTCATATAATTACTCCGGCATTAGCCAAGCCACCCTGGTAAGGAGCTCTTGTATTCAAGGAATTGGGGACCCATTTACATCACCCAGGCGGAGAGTGGCAGATGTAGATTAATGTCGTGCAAAAGGACAGTAGTGCCCCAGTGGGACTCCAAATATGAACCATGTGACCCACAGTAAGGTGGTGTTTCCACTAGACCACAACACCTCTACTCTAGGAAGGGCTTCAGTTGAACATTACCAGCACATTTTTATCAGTTTGCCTAACACATCTTGATCATCAAAACAAATATCTCCTGCATGATTAACAATTCTGAGTTACTTTAACGACAGGACCTTTTTTCTTCTTAAATTCAATAAAGGTTTTATTCAAACATGTCTGGGGTCATTTTTCAGGCTGTACTGGTGCCTCTGAAGCAAAATTCTTTCAAACATTTTTGAGTTCAGTTAAAAGTTCAGAATGTTTATGGACCAAACATCTTTTGAGTGAGGTGCAATAGCTCATTGGTAGAGTAGTGGTCTTATAATCAGGAAGGTCCTGGGTTCGAAACCAGTTCAATATGCCAGAGCCCTTTGGCAAGGCATCGATCCACATTACCAAGTCCCTCAGAAACAAATAAGCCAGTTATGGTTGCAGTCTGAGCATGAGCAGATAAAGGTCATTGCAGAACAAATTTTGAAATACACGGAGACAAAATGCGGGATACGTGCTCATGAAAGTTATGTAATCATTATTCATTCATGCACAAGCAGTGCACTCCATGATACATAGGTGGGAGTATTCTTTGAAAAGGGGAGACAAAGGCTTTTTATATAGCACCTCCATCGCTGTAGGAGTGATTATTTCAAAATGTACAAAGTGGGACCTCTTCATATTTCGAAGATCTGTGTATATTCGAGGCCATTGCAGTAATGTGCTAACCGTGAACACTGGTCTATTAAAGCTGTTGGTCCCCTAGTTGCTTACATACAAGCACACACATGCTTTCTTAGCAGTCAGGTAAAACAACAAAACCAATCTTGTTGATTACTCTATACAGGTGGCCTCTCACATCGGCAGTGAACATCACGAAATTGGATTCACACCAGAAGAGGGCATCGAAGCGGTTGAACATGTGATAAAATCTTTAGAGAGTTATGACATCACAACTCTTCGAGCCTCAGTCGGTAAGGACACTTTTCTTCTGTGAAGATTGAATTACAGTTATGCTGTGTCAAGGGTCATTTTGAAATATTGTTACTTTATTTTTTCTTAAATGTTGAATCTATATGATGAACGTGCATGCCTCAGTGTTCTTTTCACCTCTGTACATATTGATATAATGTATTCTCTCGTTTCAGGCATGTACCTCGTAGCTCAATACATCCGTAAGGAGACGGACACCATCGTCGTCTACTCCGGTGAGGGTGCTGATTGTCTCGCTCAGGGATACATCTATTTCCACAAGCAACCCGATGCGTCGGCTGGTGATGATGAGAGCAGGAAGCTGCTCAAGGATCTCTACCTCTATGATGTACTCCGTGCAGACAGGACTACTGCTGCTCATGGGTAAGCAAATCTTTACCCCCCAAAATATTAAGCTTGTTTTTTTCTTCTTAAAGGCATTGTTTAACAATTTTTCCAGTTGTATGAATCTGAGATGCATGGCCCTACGTGTTATCAGTGTCTGTGATATGGTATAATATTGAAGCCCTAAACAAATTGCGCTTCGAAATGATCATGAGGTGTTTCAAAAAAGTAAAAATCTTGTGGCCGGTTTTACCAGACTCATTTTCCCCAGTAGACTGTATAGTGTTATGAAAATCGTTTGGCAAACACATTTGGATTCGATTTCCAATCATAAATATCTTGATAATCAGACAGACAACCGGCTTGTTAAAGTCATGGGATTCATTTCTGACCAGGTTTATACTTACGATTTTGTTTAAAATCTTTCAAGTGTACCATTGTTGTGTATGGACAAATAGCATTCCATAGTAGGCTGATATTGCTACTGCATTATGTGTTAATTAACTCTCTACCAATAAACCGTACAGGAGTGCAAGTCTGTCGGTTACGGGTGAGACGCCATCTACTTTGTTCATGGGTACACAGTTGAGAATGCGAATACGACAACTTGAGACCAGGGCCTGTTTCACTACAGTGGTCCGGTTACATGGAATAGGTTACCAGTGGCGGATCCACTACCCCCCCCCCCCCCCCCCCCCCACTGAGCGAATTTTTGGCCAGCGCGTTTTTCAAATTTTCGGGAGCAAAAAAAAAAAAAAGTTGGGCCCCCTCCCCTAAGAAATCCTGGATCCGCGCCTGGGTTACCTTGTGATTTACGCTGTAGTATGTCAATTGAAGTATTTAAGAAACATCTCAAAAAACAAATATTTACATTGTAATTAACTGCATTACATTTTCTATCATATTTTGTTGAGTTTTAATTCATTGATGTTTTTGTTTTGTAAAGCGCTTTTTGATCAGTTGTAAATTGGATATAGTGCTATAAAAGAAACAATTTATTATTATTAAACAGTACTTAATGGATTGGGATCCCGGATTGGGATCGATTAGTATTGCTGCGATGCATCGTACACAAAGACTGGTCTTACTGACCCTGTTTGTGCTTCAGTTCAACTAATCCGTTCTTTACTAAGTCCTGTCTACGACGCCTCTTTAACAATTAAACGACCTGATTTTGAGTATAACTAAACCAAAATTAAAATTCTTTTGCATCTGTTTTAAATCAGGGATGCCAGTTTTCAGGCAAAAGCTTGAATTCAGGCCCTGGAGAGTTATTTTCAGGCCATAGACTTAGCTTTTTTGTGTACAAAATAGCTCATTCTAGGTGATTTTCAGGCCCGCCTCTAATCAATTCTAACTGGCATCCCTGATTATTATACCAAACAACTCCTGTTTCCCAACAGACTTGAGCTTCGTTGTCCATTCCTCGATCACCACTTCACCTCCTACTTCCTGTCCTTGCCGAAGGAGATGCGCTGTCCAAACAAAGGCATCGAGAAATACCTGTTGCGCAAGGCCTTTGATGGAACCGGTCTTTTACCGTGTGAGATCTTATGGAGACCCAAAGAAGCTTTCAGCGACGGAGTCTCGCCCGTCGAGAAGTCGTGGTACGAGTTCCTGCAGGAGCATATTGAAACAAAGGTATAGGTTCAAGATTCGGGAAATGTATTTCAATTTTCTTTTTTTAAAGCTCCTGCCTAAAGAGCCTAATTTTTAGGTTTTATACAGCGCTTAATACACCAACGATGTGTCTAAGCGCTTATCAGATATTTTATTACCTGGGTCATTAGATTCAGGCTTACCCCCCCCCCCCCCCCCCATTTATGCACATTCTCCACTTCTTGGGGAGCTTTTTGGCCAGGCGCCATTTTACAAGCGCACACTTGCTCATCTAAGCACATTAACCCTTACTGTACTGGGCTATTTTGAGCACCTTGTGACTGGGGGGAATGGGAGGCCCCCCCCCCCCCCCTATGATCTCGGCCGTCGAAAGTCCGATGAACGCGAAAATGTGCATGTTTGTAGATATTTATGTAAGGAAGAAGATGGTATAATTAGTTTTTTCCTAACATGCAAATTTTTGTCGTTATGGCTGAATTAATTATGCAAAATGCTAATGTTATGCATTTTACAGAAAACTCTTCATATTTGTCTGTAGACTTGTGAAGAATGTTGAAAATGTATTGAATAAATGTTTCCTTCATCTCAAATTCAAAAGAGGTTACATTATTTTTATGTTATTTGAAAATGCATAGGTTAATTTGCATAAATTATGAATACGCATTCATGAATATCAAATCTAGAAATATACAGGGAACTAGAATCATTACAAAAATTGTCAGACTCCACTTTTTGAATGTTAATTGCAACCCATTATTCATATGAAACTTCTTTTCTAACACAAAATAGTTATTTTAATGTAATTAATAATGATAATTTATGCAAATTTGATGCGATTTTCAAATGTTTATTTTCTTTTGCATTTTATTGTTTTTTATTTCTTATTATATCTATTGTTTTATTTCTAACGTATTCTTTTGTTCTGGAATACATCAAGTTACTTTGAGAAACATATAAAAGCAATTTGATATCTATTCATAGTATTCACATTTCTGCTTGTACATGAATATATGCAATTATAGCATATTTTTGATGACATGCGCATACTAATTGTTATGTAACACCTTACAGGTATATTCGATTTCGACGAAAATGGTATCAAAATGTGCGTAAGACTTGAGGGGAAAAAGTCATGAAACGAAAATTCAAAATTCCAAGCGGTCGCGGCACAATCTCTGAAAATGTCGGGGGGGGGGCCTCCCAGGCCTCCCCCCCCCCCCCCCCAGTACAGTAAGGGTTAACTTTCACATCCTACCAGGTACCCATTGGGTGGAGAGTGGCAGATGTAGATTCCCGTCTTGCCAAATGACATTAGTGCCGCGGCGGGACTCGAACCCCGTACCTTGCGATCTGCAATTGGGTAACTTATCCACTAGACCACAACACCTCTTTGAATAGGGATGGTTGTGCTAACTTAACTGGAAAGATATAGAATACCCAATAAAGATACAGTGCTCTTTTAAAAATTTTATGTTACCGATACACTTCATTTTTCCCCTATCTCTCTCTTTCAGGTGACCAACGACCAACTTAAAGACTCTCCCAAACGCTTCCCCTTCAACCCTCCTCCATCCAAGGAAGCATACTACTACAGACAGGTCTTTGAGAAATACTACCCTGGACGGTCTGACTGGATACCCCATATATGGATGCCTAAGTGGACCGGGGCGACCGACCCTTCAGCCAGGACTCTCAAACATTATAAGGAGTCAGAGGTCAGTGAGAAACAGGACATGGAGGTCAAGTAGGGGGTCACTACACCAACATAGCTGACAACCATTCCTATTTTGGAGGAATGATTCCTATTTTTCTTTCGTCTTCAAGCTTCTGTTTTAAACCCTAGATTCGTCTCTTTTTGTGAAATATTATGCAGGAAAAGTATACAAAATATACTGTACTCCTGAATACAAAAAAAGAAGAGAAAAACAAAATTGATTGTGTCCAAGACCAACTCGTTAACCATGAAAAACACTCTTGCACCAAATCTTTGACCTTGATCAACACTGTTTTACCTTTTATCTGTCACATCCTATGTTGTGTTATTTATCATTGATAATTAATTAAATAGCGGTAGATAAATTGAGGAATAAATGAAACAAAATTAAGCATCTTTTCGAGAGAAAGAAATGGAACGGAATAGATAAATATATGAAGATATTATAAATAAAATAAAATATTTTCTGGAGAAAAGAAGGAATCGAATAAAGAAATAAATAATTAAATGAAATCAAAAAGTATATTTTCTGGAGGAATAAAAAGAAGAAAATTATGTAAACATGTAATATGGTAGAATTGTACGATCCACTAAAAATTTAAACTTTGTTATTATATTGTTGTTTTTTATTGGTGTGTTCCGGAAAAAAATATGTTGTGAATATGATATTCAAAATCTTGAAGTGTAAATTGTAGAATGCATGACTTATTCTCTATGCTATGTTTTCCAACTTGGGAAGGGTGAGCTAGCCTGTAAGGTATCCCTCGACAGAGGGAGCCCTTCTCTGTTTCCATCCATTCTACGTCGAAGACGGATCAAGTGTGTGTTTAAGATTACTTGCTTTATACTTTGTTGCTTCTCAGCCTATGATTTTTTTTTTTGGGGGGGGGGGGGAGAGGAATTAATTAGTCTGTTATTTTTCCCAAAGTAAGCTTGCTAGAATAAGAGTGAGAATAGGCCTAGAATATGGCACATATATGGTTAACAACTAAATTATTAATGCCCCTTGTAAATTTGATGTGTTTCATGTTTGATTTTAACTCAAGTATGAAAGGTGAACTAGTTGAATTAGGGCCTTTGTTGCATACTTTAAGATGTAAGATTTCATATGTCACATTTTCAGAAAACAAATATCAGGAAAATCAATTTGTCATATTCTTAAAAATTGAAAAAAAAATGTAAGAGTATGAATAATTTAGTTGTTAATTGTATATATATCAATATTATTACATTGAGCAAAAAAAATGTGTTTTCAAACTTGTTTGTAGCCTAGTTTATGATACAAAATTCTATTTAGATATAGGAATTGCCTTTATTCTATTTAAATTAAACCCCAATAAGAATAATCTAGTATTGAACTGCATCACCAGGGGCGTAGACAACGGGGGGGGGGGGGGGGATGAGGGGGATGGCATGTACAATCATCCCCCCCCCAGGTTTTGGGAAATGATATTTGCTTACTTAATAAGTCATAATGATGATAATAATAGTAATAATAATAATGATAACAATTATAATATTAATAATAATAATAATTATGATGATGATAATAATAATCCTCATCATTATTGTAATTGTGTTTGTTAGCCGCATTCAGACGGTGAAAGCCAATTCTAAAACAGAATAGAAAATGAATGTGATACAACAGTATACATAATAATTCGTGACAGAGAGTACCATACTACTATCTTTATAACAAGTATTATTCAAACAAACATATATAATTATGTATAATCATGAATTGTTCAACTTCATGCTCCCACTATATGACTATTGTTACACTAATACTGATATCAGGACTGACTGGTATACATTAGTTTGTTGTTAAGCTTGCAGCAGCTACATCTTTTCTGTATTGTTAACTTTTTATTTATTTTTGTTTTATTTAAGATGCACTTTGTTTTGTATTCATTTAAAGTATGTTGATTGATGCATGAAGACATAAGTTTGAAATGTTTAAAGAAGTTTGTTTCATGTAAAGCGCAGTGTGAATTTACCATGTCTTGAAATGCGAGATAAAAGGAACCTATTAGTATTAGCATTATTATTTGTATTAGTATTATTTTTTATTATTATTATTATTATTATTATTATTATTATTATTATTATTATTATTATTATTATTATTATTATTATCATTATTATTATTATTATTATTATTATTACTATTATAAGACTGAGATCAAATAGAAGTAAATAATGCCCTAATTTGAAACGATGCAATGCCGTTATGGTTCCGATTTCTTCACAAACTTACAAAGCAGTATTGTTACTCCATGGATCATAGTGATACTGTTTATGTTTTTTGTATCTGTATGTTAATGAGCCGCCAGCCACTATCCATCTATGGATACTATGCCTGTTTCTTTGAGGTAAAAAAAAAGCATAGTATGTACGTATTCATTATGCTTTATAATGAACAGATATATTGTTCAAAGTTTAATCGTTATTTGTTTGTTGTTTATGTGTTCTATTCACAAATGGCCACAGAGGCTGTTTTCATTCATAACCACATACCCCTATCAAGACAACAAAGACTATACCTGCGTGTACACAGTTGACATTTGTTTTTTTTTCTGAAGAGGTGTAACAGCAAAATTCACAGAGATAAATAAATACGTAGTGTGGTTCAATATGCAATACTATGTGTCAGTCCATTCTGTATTCGTATGCCACGGTGTGTAGATCTTGTCGATGTATGTCTGTCCATTCAAGGCGTAGTATGTGTGTGTGTGTGTATGTGAGTATGTGTGTGTGTGCGTGCACGCTTGTTTGTGTTATTTTACCTCATTAAGTATGCATCAGATTGCACGATTTCAAGTTCAAAATTGCAAAAGCTCCCTACCGTTGGAGGGGGGACACCCCCCTCCCACACCCTCCCCCCGCTCGGTCGCTTCGCTCCCTCACTAGCGTTGGCAGCCCAGTCATCCCCCCCCCCAGGTGTACGAACCTGTCTTCGCCACTGTGCATCACTATTGTGAAAATCGATTTATTCTTCCCTGTATACTGAAATACTGGTATGTATTTTTTTTATCTTGTTAATTAGTTATCAGTTAACCGGTAGTTTTTTACTTTTTACAAGGTTATTCGTTATTTTGCAGCTGGCAGTACACTTATTTTGTTCTTACAGCTTGCCCACATAATAAAGTACTGTTTTTTATGATTTTTGTTTTGTTTTTTGTAATGGTTGTGTGCTTACTTTTATTCTGTAATAGAAATGTTGCAATATATGTTTGCATACAGGGTCTCTCATACACCTACATGTATTTGTGAAGTTTACCTCTACACTGAAATGCATAAACATGATTGTGTATGTGTGTAGTGTATTTAAAAGCTACTTGTGTTTAGGAACAGAGATGTTTGGAGTTGGTACTACTATACCGGTAGTGTGACGCAAGCCTTTGTAATAGGAATTGCCATATGTCATCACAGTGACCGTATGGTAGGAATACTCCCCAGGAGTGGAGATGGTGCACATTGTGTGCATAAATGAATCTGATGACCGGGGTATTAATATAGATTATAAAGCGCTTTGAGACAGTATTTTGTTATAAGCGCTAAATATATCAATTCTGATTATTATTATTATTAGTTTACCTCATAATTGTATTCATCTTATTTATCATAACTTTACTATCAATTTTGCAAAGTTTAAATCGCCAAATCAATATAAGGATCTGTCTTTTTTTCTCTGCATTTTTGAAAGTGTTTATGTCTCTTAACCAATTTGAGCAAGGAGTATCATGGTCAAGTCATTTAAGACAATTATCTGGTTGATGAGCAAAGTGACCAGTTCTGGAAAGAAAAAAAATTGTTGTTGTAGTAAAGTACTTTAAAATCATGGAACATAAATCTATTTTCCAATTTACAGTTTGTTGACTTAAATTTAGGCCCTTTTTTAAAAACTTTTTAGTCAAATTAGTCTTTATTGCACTTTACTACTACATGGGCCTTCAAGGACCTTGAGTCATGCTGGCTGTTAGTCATATATGGGCTTTAACATGTGATACAGACGAGCGTATTAACATAAATATCTTGCAATTTCAAACATTCCCCTGATTGTAATTCTTTGGTGGTTATAACCCTGCCACTTCATGTACGTGAAGATGAATTAAAAAGTTATTGATAATTCCTTTTTGTTAGTGATCGTATTTGAGATTATCGTCTCAACCACTAATACATAATAATAGTTGCTGATTGGGAAATATAACAATGCAGCTGTCATTAGTTTCATAAGGTTCAACTTTGTTGTTCTTACCTTGTGTAATGGAAATTAATGAATCAATGTAAATGATTATGTAATACCTTAGCATTTCTTGTAATATTTGAACAATCTAGTGAGCAAGGAAGTTGATTTGTTTTATGTGTCCAATCATTGTTTGGGCAAATTATGATAGTGTAATTGTAATTTCTTTTCTTTATTAACAGGGTAAAGGTTTTATTAATATAATAGTTATAAGCTCAAACTGAAACATATACTTAACTGAAATACTTTCCATCCTAAGTTTTAAGAATTGTGTCACTTTAGTTTTTTAGTTTTGTTTAACCATTATTATATTTTGTTTGTTGGCAATAGAAACTTTAGTAGAGTTCATGAAATTTGAACACTTATGTAGTATAGATTTAGATAGATATAAAGATAACTGTTTTGTGGCACAGTTTTCTTGATGCTGAACTGCAATTAAACATTAGCATTGCCTTATCTATATTCATGAATGATTTTGAGACTTTGATTTGTTCTGTTTAGACTCTCCTATGACTGATATACATGTATGATGACACGACTATGTCCTACTCCTACTGCTGTTTTACTTCTTTCTTCCTTTTTTAAAATCGTATATGATGCAAATATGAACAGTGATCTCATCAGACTTTTACAATCTACTTCTAGTTCAACATTCTCTTCTACTCATACTTCTACTCCTACTCTGAAAGTTTCTTCTTTTTCTTCTTGTTCTTTTCTTCTTCTTCCTCTTCTTCTTCTTCTTCATCTTCTTCTTCTTCTTCTTCCTATACTTCTTCTTCTTCTTCTTCTTCTTCTTCTTCTTCTTCTTCTTCTTCTTCGTTTACTTTCACTCAATCTGTAATTAAAGTGTAAACAAGAAAAAAAATTAACAAGATTGTTATTGTCGTTGTCATTATTAATTTTTACGAAAAATCACTGTAGAGTCAAGACGATTCTTACTGTTAACTTGTGATTAAAAGCAACCAAAAAGAGAAAGAGCCTTCAACGACATAAGCAAAAGAACATTCAATTTTTCTCTGGAAAAAACAGAAAATCCTATTTTTTCAACAATTCTTTATTACCGTACCAACTCTCTTTTAAAATATCATCCACGCTAGCCCTGATTCTTTCAGGATTTAACGCTTCAGCGTCAAATATATACCGGTAAGCACTTGATAACGATATTTTTGTGCATTGAAGGCTGAATAGTTCAAGT